AAGTTGGGCAGTCAGGTGGGCAGAGTAGGGCTCATCTTTATAAAAAATGATTTGTAATCTTAGCATGGAGAATAAAACAATAATTGAGATTATCAATTTGCTAAACAAAGCTTTTTATCAGTATTTTGAAGCCCTATTAAAAACTATGTGTATTTGGCAATGGCAAGCATTGAGCTGCTCGAAAACTATATGATTAAATAATAAAATAGTAAGTAAAGTGTTCTTTGGGATCAACATTAGGTTTATCCCAATTATTTCTTATGATGTATTATCTGTATAATACTACATATATAGATAATAAAATGAACAAATTTTGATTTAACATTGAGGAAAATATCAGAAATGCCTAATAGTATAAATCCTGTTCAGATATTCTTATACTAAAAGATAAGAATAAGTATTACAAGAAAATAATAATTTAATTTATTTAAAATATGTCATAATGAGAGTAGAGAGTCAGAAGAAAACTTTGTGTGAGAGAAAAAAAGGCACAGTTGATTAGGTTTGGCATATACAAAAACATCATTATGGAAAAACAGCTCATTCCCTTTTTTTTAGTGATAATATAAGACAGTTATCTTGGTACTAGAAATAAGTTAATCACAAAGCACACTGATAGTAAGCAGTGCTGTGAAAGACATTTTTAAAGGATCCTTTTGCATTTAGAAATGAAATTTAATGAATTCTTGGGTTTGATATTTAATCTGTTGAGAGAAACTTAAGAAAGTTATTTCTATACATAATTCATATTTTCTAACTGTAAGTAATATATCCTGTATGGGATCCTTGTCCTCCCCAGGACTTCTGCTCAGAGAGGTGTGCTGATCACCAGGAACAACTTCTTTCCCAGAGCTGTTTCATGAAATGGGAGAGAAATTGCTCAAGCAGAGCCTTGTGATTCATAAGTCCAGAGTCTGTCTCTTTTTAACATTTCCACATTTGCAAATCTGTCTTGATACCACTATCAAAGAAAAACATTTTTAATAGCTGAATTTCTGTAATGCTCAGTCAGTTACTTTCTTATGGTGATTACATTCTGTTTTATTTACACTGTTTTCTTATAATATAAAGTGTGAACTCCTTGTGGCCTAGAACTTTTGCAGCTGCTGAAAAGCCTACAGCAGGGCTTGTTTAAGTGGGAAAAATGTAAATAGATTTAACAAAGTGATCATATACCTGTTAGATCATCATAATGTTAGATTAAGAGAATGTGTCTTGATGTTCCTTTGCAAATAATTTAGCAATCATATTGTAATGCTGTATAGGACTGAGGTGGCCATTTTTTGTGGGTTTTGTCCTAAAAGCCTTACAACCTCTGGTAGAATAAAAAAAACAGATATTTCTATATTCAGAAGATCTTTCCAGAGTTGTGCTTCTTCACTTCTTTTGAATTAACCACCCTTTAGAGATCACAAGTAGATATGGAATCAAATAATTCTCTATGGGGAAAATTCATATCTGTACAAAATCTCACATCTTTTAAGAGGACCACAGTCACCTAAAGGCCCAGAACTGCTTAGTCTAGAAAATTCTGAATGTGAAAACAGTAATCTCTGTATAATGAACAGAAGAAAAGTAACAATACATTATCTGTACTACATTCTGTCAAGTCAGTGAAATATTTGATAGTTAAAGTGGTAAAATGCTCAGTGTAATAGAAACTAGAGGCAATACAGACTGAGGATGCTTTGGGGATCTGTTACAGTCAGGGTTGAATGTTGCTCTTCAAGAGACCTGTGAAATACTCTGTGCCAGGAAAAGACATCTGTGAGGTAAGTAATCTATTATCTCATAAAATACTGAAATCAAGATCAGAAAGAAAAAGAGCCTACAACATGAAGTGCTCTGGTGGAATGTGGATTTGCCTGTAACCCCTATTAAAACACAAGAATCCACGTGTCTTGTTATGTGTGTCCCATGTCCAACACCAGCACTTGGGTCTGGTGTGTCAGCGTCTTAAATTCTAATGCCACAGTTCTGTAATTGATCCATTCAGGTCAGGCTTCTAATTCTTTCTTTTTTCTATCCCATTCCTCTGTATTTATTTTTGTTTCTTGTGTGTGTGGAGTCATTTATGTTCCACAGAGGATTCAGAAAAGAAATGGAATTTTTTTCACCTTAGCAGTGTTTACGTATTGACAAAATGAGATGTGCTTGATGTGGCTAGAGAAACACTGTAACACACACATGTAAAAAGAGACCTGGCCAGACATTCACAGTACCTCCCCATGTTGTTTTACATTTTTCTCGCCATGAGTGTAGATGGATTGGGTTTGGGCTGCGAAGAGCGAGATCAAAGAGGATACCTAGGTGTGGGGATTGAGCTAGGCAGAGGAGATCCAGCTTGTGAATGGTATTACTCATGAGTGGTTTGAGGGGCTAAAGATCTAGATTCCTTTAAGGCTTGTAGGGATTTGGAAATGTAAGTCTGGAGCTCCTGGCAGAGGTTGGAGTTAGAAACCTGACCTTGGCAGTGGTCAACAAGTTGTTGCTAGTTATGACCATGAGCACTGAGGAGAGCACACAGCCAGTGACCCCTTCAGGTGGAGAGAAGTCCACCGACCCCGCCTAGAGCTCTCTGGCGCTTTGAGATGTTTCCCTCTTCTGGAAGCACATCTCTAGTTTCACAGCCGAAATTAAAATTCTGTTTGTTTTAGTTGCATTTGTTTTCAGTTGTTTTGTAAAAGGAGGTTAACCAACTGGAATGGAGGTAAGTAGGTATGTTTCTGAAAGGGCATCATGAGATATCATTGCAATGTTAGCACCATTCAGTGTCTTGATTGTGGTGATGGACTCATGGACCTATATATCTGGGTAATAAATCATCCAGAATATAATACTGAGGAAATCTGAGTAAGATGGCTGATTTTTGTCAAAATCTCAATCTGGTTATGATACAATGTAACAGTTAAGCTGTCGCCCCTAAGAAACTGGGAAGTGTGTGCCAGTGTGTGTGTGTGTGTGTGTGTGTGTGTGTGTGTTTGTGTGTGTGTATAGCATGGAGGGAAACTACAAATCTTTTAGGTATAAATAATCTTTGTATTATTTTTCTGTGGAAAAATATACCTCAGCGTTTACTGATCAAAAGATGTAGAATGTTACATTTACTGCATTTGGAGTATTAGTTTAGTTAGAACATTCTAATTTGTCATTTGGTTCTAAGAAGATTGTAATGAGGTATCATACTTTCTTTTTCTTTTGATTACACAAGTTTTAAAATCCTCTTAATTTTGGTTTCAGCCACAGCGAAAGTAACGTTTCTATTTGACTTTAATTAACAATTTTAATTACTTAATTAACAGTATTCATTACAACTAACAGTTCATAGGTCTTTTGGATTAACATATGTTCTTTTTCAATGATTTAACTTTTAAAAATCTTGCTTATTAATTTCCTTTAAAATTAATTTTATTTTTAAAAAAACTTGAAAACATTTTAAAAAGGTAGCAACAGGCTTTTTTTTTCTTTATGAGAACAAGAAGTACTCTGAAACAAAGAATAGGATTCCTTGTGTCCCTCTGTCTTACAGTTTGTGGAAAGTGGAAACGGTGGTCTTTCCTTTCCAAAGCTTAGATCTAATCATGTCATTTCCTTGCACAAAAACTGCCAGTGAAGTCCTCTCCCATGGGAACCAACTCTAAGATCCCTGATACGGGGGCGGGTTCTGAAGAGGGATCTACGCCACAGCCTGGCCTTTCTCTCCAGGGTCCCCTCCTTTTCCATCTTTTCTCTTATCCCACTTCTCAAAGCACCATGTATGGCCAGTCTAACCTCCAGGCTTTTACAGTCCTATTCCTCTGTCTTCCCCTTTTTTGACTCCTCGTGTAAGTTCTCATCCAGCCCTTCTTTGAATTTGCTGGTTTCCTTCTAATCATCTCTTCCAGGCCTCAGCCCCTCCAGCTGGTTTTTAAATGCAGCGTGGTCAGTGTGTATGCTTCAGCAGAGGGCTATTGCTTTCCTGGGTGTTTAATGTTGTGTTCAATACTAACACAATGTTTCCATGCGCCCTTACTAAAAGTGGTTAGTTACATGGTGCAGGTTTTTGATGGTAGGAGTAGGAAAGGGAAAGAAGTTAAAGTCAAAAGAAATTTAACATTTAACATTTGGCATCCTCAATTTAACGCATTTCTAATAACAATGAACTCATAAAGGAAGATGGGGTATTTGGGGTGGTAGAAAAGGAATTGTGAGGAAAGTTAAAGGAAATTATAGAAAAAGTTAAGGATTACAGTATTTCACTGAAGAAAATGATTTTCCATGTAAGTACGGAATTTCTAAGAAATGATAATAGCGTGCTTTTCTTTTAATCAAATTTAGAAGAAGAGAATGAAGTTGTAATGTGGTGCCCACCTGTAAAAGAGTGGAGTCAGTCCTTGGCAGTGTGAGTCTGTTGGTACTAGAATGAAGAATATATGCAGACTGAAATGGTAGAAAATTATATCATTCAATTCAACTAGTACTTTAATAATTTAGCACCAGTGCAAACTTACTGTAAAAAATGAAGGAATGGTCTTAAAAGGTACAAAGGTGTAAAACATTACTCATTATCTCACTAAAAATATACAATGGGAATTTGAAAGATCAAAAAAAAGTTATCTATCTGGAACTATTCAAGACTGACTTCCTGGAGAGAGAAGAATGGACAGAATAAACTTAATGATGACTTGTAAACCCAAGGAAGGAAAGACTTCCTGGTTTAGAGTTCTTGTGAAGAAATTGGGCAAAGAATTATAATTATTATGTTTCTGAAGTAAACCAAACAACTTAATCTGAGATATTTATTAACATTTTTGTGAACAAAACCTAATGAAGTAATTTAATAGGACTACCAATATAATTGAAATGTTTTTCACACTCCTTTCTCAATAAATAGAAAATTTATTAATGTTTTTGAGTCATTTAATCTGTATGTCATGACATTAGATAATAACATATACATATATATATATATACATACATATATATATATGTATGTATATAATTTCTGTTTTATTTTTAAGCTGGATAATGCAGATGAACAAGCAGCCCAGATCAGAAGGGAACTTGATGGTCGGCTACAATTGGCAGAAAAAATGGCAAAGGTAAATTATTTACTTTAACATACTGTGAAACACGATTCATATAGGTAAATATACCCAACATAATTCATCATTTTCTCCTCTACATATACACCTCTTAATCCCAAATACCTGAATGCATATTGTTTGTTGTTTTGTTTTGTTTTGTTTTCGGTACGCGGGATCAAACACAGAGCCACTGAACTAAATCCCCTGCCCAACCTGAAAGCATACAGTCTAAGTGAAACATGCCATCCATTTTGGTATCTCTCTTAAATATGTGACATGTATGTATATTTGTTTTTTGAGACAAAGTTTTGTTGTATAGATGAGGCTGGCTTTGAACTCACTATGTCGCCCAGGCTGACCTATAATTCTTGATCCTTCTACCTCAGTTTCCTGAGTGCTAGGATTACTGGCATGTGCCACCATGATTCATTGATAATCTTCATGAATTTTTCTTAAAGCAATGCCCAAATATCTCTTGACTGCTATAGTAGATCTAGGATAGTTTTAATCTTGCACTGAGTAAAATATAATCAGGGAGAAAATCTCCATATCATATCATATGTTCTATTCCAAAATATCCATCACAGTACTTGGTAATAATAGTACTGACTAATATTTGCATGATTAAATGTATGAAAAATGTAATTGAAGCATCTAGAATAAAATGACAGATAAAATATATTCTATATAATATTCTAGCTATTTTATATGTGTAATCACTGTTTCTGAGAACAGAAATAGATTTCAAACAAAATACATGAGTTTTTATTTAATATTAATATTTTTAAGGAAAATGAACTTTAATCATCTAAACCCTTCTTTAGTGTGAATTGATGGACTAATTTACTTCAGTATTACTGAGAGAGGAGACCGCCCCTTCATATGGAATTAGGCAACTATTAGTTAATTGCATTATTAGGCAACCATGGGTTAACTAGGTAATTATGCTCTTTGTAGAATGTACCTGAGTAGCCGTGATAGTTTGTAATCTGTCACCAAAGGAGTGTAACGGACTCAGAAAATCCTTCCTGCCAGAACTCTTTGCTCTCCCCCTCTGCACTGCTCTACTGCTCTATTCCCAGGGAAACTCCAATGAATTAAGCTTAGTAGTTGTAAAAAGAGATATATAAGGAAGCGTAAATGTTTATTCAGGGCTCTTGAGACTGTCAGCAGTCCCTCATTAGCCACTGGCATCATTCAAAGCCACTTTTTGCTCTTATCTTCATGTTAAAGCGTTGTCTGTCCGGGGTCCTCACTGTTTCCTACTTCAATAAAAAAGTTTAAACTCTTCCCAGTGGAAGTGCAGTTATATTGCTATGGATTGCTGAGATCAGAAAACTTTTCTTTTTCTTCTGCTAAGTAAAACTTTGACTATTTAGAGCATAGACCCCCTTTCATACTGTGCAAACATGACAATGTACAAATGTTCTGCTTTCAGCTTCCTAATTACAGCTCAATGAATATATATATATATATGTGTGTGTATATATATATATATATATATATACATACATATATATATATATATATATATTGTGTGTGTGTGTGTGTGTGTGTGCACTTCCCTAAGATAGTGGACTTCTCCACCCTTTGAGTAGATACCTCACATATCAATTTTAACAATTAAATTTTGTGTTTCTGTAAAGAAAATAGTTATTTATTAGTGTATGACATGCTTTGAGAATACGGATACCTTTTATCTAAATTATGAAGTAGAAAAAGTGTTTAAGATAAAAAGTAGTAGAAAAGATAAATAAAAAGTAATATAAAAGGTAAAGAAATAAAAAGAGTGAAAATTTGCGAGAAACTGGGTAGTAGGGGTGACACTAGATCCCGAGAACCAGGTCAGGAATACAGAAGAAGAACATGAATATGAGAGAAGATACAGGGCATGAATTAGTAGATAAAGGGTTACATTCAAACATGAGGAGCAGAAGGAACTACATGCCTCATTCTTGTCCTCTAACTATTTAGAGAGGTACTGAATCTTCTAGATCATTCTTATGTGGAATTCATAGGGTGGAAATCAAGTAGCTATTAGAAGCTTTAGAGAGAAACTTGCTTTACCTGAAACACTAACCTGTACTGACCCTGGCTAGAAGAGTGTTTGATTTTCCTTAAGGCTTAAGGCTGAAAGAAAATCCAGAGAGCTTTGTGAGACGGAGTGGGGCAAGACACTGACCTGTGCTCAAGATTTGTATGTTCCTTCTTTTCATGTGAATTATTCCTGAGGTTGGAGGACTATTGATATTGAATTTACTCCTCCAAGGGCCTGGCTGCACACATGGTGCTGTAGAAAACAGTTTAAGTAATATTCTGGGTGGCTACCAGACCAAAGGGAAAGAAAGCATCACACTTAAGGAGGAAAGTGCGGGCCTTCCTGAGTCATATCCTGGCTCAAAAGGAAGGACCACTGATGAACACAGAAAGCCTTCTCCTTGGGGGCCTCAGAGATGTTGATAAAGTGGGAAGGGTGGGGAGAAACAGGCGAAACAAATGGTGTTGGAAGGGGAAAATATAGTTTTAAAAATAAGTTGCCTTTCAGTGAAAATATTGACATAGCAGATAGTTTATTTGTTCTTCACTTTAGTTTCACCAAATCAAAGTCATTTTAATAAATACAAGGCTAATTCAGTTACTTACCTTGTTGTATTATATTTCTACGATAATCCTGTGAACCTGGAAGGACAGATACTGTTAAGTTTATAGACAGGGAGATTGAGGTTTAGGAAAGATCATTTACTTCATTAAGATTATGTAACTGGTCAGTGACTCTGGCCTTGACTCCAGAATCAAGGCTTGCTCGTACTTCCTACTGCCTCTTTAAACTGATAAATCCAGAAGTACAGTTTATTAGTAGTTTACATTTTGATAATTAATAACACACCTGTCAACACATCACAAAAAAACACATAAGAATAGTCAGAGCTTAGTCAGGAATCTTAGAAATAGTGGTGGTGCACACCTGTAATCTCAGCACTCTGATGGTAAGGCAGGAGGGTTGTGTGTACTACAGCCTATCCTGGCTGATTTAGTAACTTAGCTAAACCCTGCCTCAAAATGAAAAGGGTAGCAAGTGTGACTCAGTGCAAGGGCCCTGGGTACAATTCCCAGTAGCCCACCCCTCTAAAAAGATAAGGATAATAAACTTAGAAATATAGCCAAGGGAGAATTAGAAAGAAATGGGAAAAATATTAAGACAGCTAGAAAGACCTGTGGCTACAGCTATGATTACTGCTTCCTATACATAAAGTAGGCAAGTCATTTCATGTCTTTCAGCCTCATTTTTTCCTTTGCATAAATTGTTGAATATTATCTATTGAGCATCTAATAGTTTAGGCAGGCACTGTCTTAAGTACTTGGGATACATCCAGGCAAATGTGATTGTGTTGGGATAAAAGAAGACAAAAATATTCCTACCCTACCTGCCTAGAATTTATGCTTTATTTCCAAGAGCCCCGTGATAAGCAATAAACATGTCATCCATGACTTTAAATTATGAAAGCTGATCATTGTTATTCAGAAAATAGATCAGTAGGATCAGCAGTATAGGAAGAAGGAGAAAAGTACTCAGGATTTTATCCCAAGAGAACGGCAAGATCTTTTTTTCAAATGGATAAGGGACCAAGAGAAGGGGGAAGCAAAGAGGGAAAGGGGATGGGCAAAAATAATCGAAGGGGGAACATGATGAAAGTAGTTTTTACAAATTGAAAGAGTTGGAGCACGGAGAGAAAAGGGTAGAGGATGAAAAACAAAAAAGATGTAAAGAGAATTAAGATGTACTTGTACATGTACCAACTCCCCACAATATTTGTAATCATTATGTACTGTAAGCATGCATTAATAAAGAACAGAAAACAACATTTTCCCAACTGCTCAGAGAAGACTAGTTCTTGGCAACACTGTCTTTCTGTTTATGGAAGCCAAAATACTTGGCAACAGTCAAACATGACTTCTTTGTTTTTCTCATCCTTCATGCAAAATGTATCTGGAAATCATTTTGCCTCTATTTTTACATATTTCCAGAATATGACAACTATTAGCATCCTTTAGCTTCTACTCTGCTGCATTCAGTCATCATCTCCCACCTGAATCATTGCTCTGTCCTTTTAGCCCAGTGTGCACAGATGCCCTAGTAACACAGCAGCCAGTGATTTTTGCATAAAACCTTGGGATAGAACTCATGTCACTGTGAGTAAAATTAAAAGCTCCTACAAAGGCCTACAAAGTCCTCTGTGTTTGATTTATTGTCAAAGTGACAAAAGTGACTGTTCACCCTTGCTCAGTCCACTTCAGCTGTGGTGGCCTCCTCCCTCATTCTTGCTGCTACCAGGTCTTTGCCTCAACTATTCCTTCTACTAGCAGCAGTCTCCCACTGATACTGGCATGGCCTGTTCCCCATATTAGTCAGGTTCTCCCGACAAACAGAACCTATAAGAAATTAGGTAGATGAGCAGATAGACAGAATTTGTAGAAAATGAGATGTGATAAAATAGATACATGTATGTATTATCTTATGCACACATACACATTTAGAAAAATATTTAGATTAATTGATTTCAAATAATTGGCTCATGGAGATTGCAGAAATTGTCAAATCCAAAATTCATAGAAGCAGCTAGCAGATTTGAAACTCAGGTAAAAATTGATATTGCGGACTTCAATCTGAAATCCACAGGGCAAGCCAGCAGGAGGGAAGTGTAGGCAGGGTTTCTATTATTGCAGTCTTGAGACAGAATTGCTGCTGCTTCAGGAAACCTTGGTCTTTGTATTTAAAGTCATGATCAGCTGATTGAATGAAGCCCACCTACATATTGGAGTGCAATCTCATTTACTCAGATTTAACTGATTGTAAATATTAATCACATCAAAAATATATTAAGAGTAGCATTTAAATTGGTGTCTGACCAGAGAACTAGGCACAATAATAGAAAAATTGACATACCAAGTCATACAGCTTCATCTGCTTTTCTGTTCAGAAGTCGTGTGTTCATTGAAAACTTCCCTGGCCCCCTATTTTGAGTTGCAATCCCTTGTCACTGTGGCTTTTTCTCCATAGCATTCACCACTTTTTACAATATGAAAGGAATTATTTATCATACTCCTTACAGTAAAATGTAGGCTCCATGTCAGCAGAGGATTGTTGTCCATTATCTTCATGGTTACTTTCCGAGGTCCTGGAGCAGATCCCAGGGCAGACATTCAGTGGATGTGTTTTGAGTAACTGAATCATTACCTGATGACATATTGTCCTTAAACTCAGGGTAAGGCAGAATTTTCTAATTATTTGTAGAATTATTTCCCCTTTCTCCCACTTCAAAGAACATTCAAATTCAAAGGCAGAAAGGATACTGATACAGTAAGAATAACTGAGTCTTCTCTAATTTCTAACAAAAATGTAAACATTTCTTTATTTCAGTTATGATTGGGACCAACTCTAAAATCAGTAATTCACTTGATGCCATTACTCTGAGTTTTGAATTTACAATCAATAAAGATCAAGCTCTGCATGGAACCAGAAGTGATTTCCAATTTTGTGTTTTTCAGTTTAGGATATTTGCATGTGTATAATGAGAGTTTCAGGGTATGGAACCCAGTTCTAACCATGACACTCATCCTTTATGTACATCTTAAACACTTAGCCTATAATTTTATCTAGCACTTTAGTACACCTGTGTTTTGAGCATGACTCCTCACATGAGGCTAGGTGTGGAATTTTCCACCATAATATCATGCTGGTACTCAAAACGCTGTGGATGTGTAGCATTTCTGATTTCAGATTAGGGATGTTCAACCAGTATTGGCACAGAAATCCAAGCAGAGATCTACTTGCAGGAACTGCCTGGTGATCAGAACCTCAGAAATCATCTCATGTGGTGGTGGCAGACTTAGGTTAAGAGCAATTACAAAAAAGTGACTAACTTAAAATAATGAGTACATTTTAATGAAGCAAATAATGTTTTAATGTATACTTTGTCTTAGCGCCATTAGTGTGCCATGTTGGGCAGAGGAGTGAATAAGAATATTGAAACCATGGTTTATAGGAGCAATTCACAATTAAAGAGAAAATAAGCCTGTTTGTAATTCCTTTCTAATTTAAAAGATCAAATATCATGTATATACTGGTCTGATGATAGTTGTTTTTGTTGTTTTCATAAAAAAGGCAACATAGCCGGGCTATGTAAAGGTGATGAATACTACTAATAAACTTCAAGGCTTTAAGAGAGAGTTGTGACAATTTTTCAGAAGAAAAAGTAAATTCTAGTGAAATCTATTCCCTGAAAAGCTTGAAAATGCTTTAAATAATCAGTGTTGGTGATGCCTGCCAGTTACCTCAATGACAGATGATAGTGAATGAAATATTCTTAGCTAGAGCTAAATACACATAGGCTTTTAAAACTGTGCTAATGCTGTGTTTTCTATGAAATAACACCTTTGAAAAGTTTAAAGAATTAGTGCTTTCAGAACTTTCAAATATGTGATGATTGCTTTTAGATTTGAGAAAATTATTAAAAGAAAAATTAGGATTTTTCATACAGATATAAAGTGAATACACAATAAAGATTTTATTAAATATGTAATTAGCAAGCAAATCAGCCAAATGTTAAAACCAATCCAAAGAGCATTTAAGAAACTAGGTATTTGGAGCATTGTTAAGATTTATGTGTTAGACACAAAGTTGGTTAATTTCTAAGTGTAAACTATAACTATCAGATTATTTTGCTCTCCAGACAAACATTGTTTGCATGTTTTCCAGACGAAGTCTTACAAGGGAACATGTAGCTTCACTGTTGGAACTGCTAATGAGTAATAAACAGTGAGTTGAACTAAGTGCGTTTCTGCTAATGACCATTGGTCAGCCTTTGCCCCATGTGGTATTGAAAGAACCAGCATTCTCATCCTTATTTCTTTTTTCCCCAGTTTTGTATGCTTTACCAAACAGTTTTGGAAGTTGATCTCAAAATATAAAACTGCTTTTATGGCTTTTTTTTTCTTCTGTGCATGTATTGAAAAATCATTCCAAAGCAACTGTATTTTTTCAAAGGAAACCAAGATATTCTGTAGATGAGTAGCTATGTGTTTTTCTTTAGGATGCAAACTTACTATTTTGGGATGTTGCTTCTAACTATACAGGAGTATTAAAAGGATACTTAAGAATCTTCTGTAAGAAAGTTCATTATTAATTTATAAATTCTCAAAATATGCAATTTTAATATTGATTATATGCAGATGGTTTTTAAAAATAAATATATGAAGGTTATGTTGGGAGCGTGGGAAAAAAACCCAGGTGGCTTGAGACACTGGGACTGATTCACAAAGCATTGCCAGATGCTCCATCCTATCCCAGGCACAGAACTGTGTGCAGCATGTCGGGGATGTCCCAGTTGTGCCTGGGATGTGAATTTCTTAGGTTAGGTTTGAATGACGCCAAGGTTAGCAAACTTTTTTTCCCATTAAGTTTATTGGCACATTTTAGGTAATCAATACAGTTAAAACATTCATCATTGGGACCTTGTACCTTTACATGATGTATATTGGTTCTTATGTTTTCACCATTCTCCTGCCCTCCTTTCACCACCTCCCTTCCCTATTTACAAGGTTAGCAAACTTTAAGGTAGTGATTTTCTGGAGCCTTAGGCTACCACTTAAAAGAAAGTTGTTCTCAGGTTTCATCCCCAGCCAGTTCTGTCCAGAGGGCGGCATGTTACCGTGGGATTGATGTTGTGAAGATATGTCACCTCTGCTTTGAGTAGAGAAAAGCTAAATGACAGGTTGGCACAGATTAAATTTAAGGCCAAGAGTCTGAGGGAAAACTGCTCTGATGTTCCATTTAGGAGACTATAAATTGGTATGATTTTCTCTAAGAACAGTTTGGCGGTATCTAAATATCAATATTTGGAATGTCTTTCAATTGAGTGAAAGATTTAGAAGTGATTGCAAAGATAAAAGCATTGAATGGCAATGTTTCTGTACTTCACTTAAACAGTAGAATCTTCCAGGGCCAGGGATTTAGCTCAGTGGTTCTGGCACCTGCCTCACAAGCACAAGGGCCGGAGTTTGATCCCTGATACCAAAAAAAAAAGAAAGAAAAGAAAAAAAGAAAGAAAATAGAATCTTCCAAATTGATATTATTAATCATTTTTATTTGACAAATTTTTATCATAAAATTACCTTTTGCTCTCAATTTAAATTTTTTTCAACCATTAGTTAAAAAAAATTAATTATGGTCATAAGGAATCTTGGTGCAGTTTGTGATGTGAAAATTAAGTAATTCTAGAAATATGTCCATGACATTGTTCAATAATATTTTTATTGAGTTTATTGGTACATTTTAGGTATACAGTACAGTTACATTCATTATTGGAATCTTGTACCTTTACATGACAGGTCTTGGTTCTCATTTTTTTCCCCTTGTCCCTGCCCTCCCTTTACCCCCTTCCATAATATTTTTATTGAATGTTTATGTATAAAATACTTGTCCTCCCAGTGAACACCTGTGGTAAGGGATATTGTTAAAATGTCTCTTTTCTAAAAAACGTAACTATATAGTCTGAATATTTTTTATAGACCAATTACTCCAAGCATTTCAAAGATAATAGTGGTTAATTAAAACAAAAACAGAATATGCCTGTTTTGGGTTTTTCTATTTTGCAGATCTTCTCAAAAACAAAGTTAATGTGAAATATATATATTTAAGAAATCAAAATTTCCTAAGCATGAGGTTTTAAAACCTAGAGATGAGAGTAAATTATTTTGAGTGTCATAACTTCTAAGAAAGCACATTATATCCATCGTATTGCCTTTGATGATAAAATTGAAATATGGCTTGTTTAACATTGTTGTTTTAAATGTTTTTAAGGAAAGAAGATTCCCCAAATTTATAGCCAAAGAAATGGAGAATATGTATATTGAAGAGTTGAGGTCTTCTGTGAATTTGCTAATGGCCAATTTGGAAAGTCTTCCAGTTTCAAAAGGTGGCCCAGAATTTAAATTACAAAAATTAAAACGTTCACAGAATTCTGCGTTTTTGGACCTAGGAGATGAGAATGAGATTCAGCTATCCAAGTCAGACGTTGTACTGTCTTTCACCTTGGAGGTAAGTGGCTTCATCCTGTGCTGGCCACTGACAGCATAAACAAGACTTCATAGTAATTTCTGCTGACCTTTGGGGTAACGTGTAGAATTTAAAGCAGGATTATATATTTTGAAGATGTCAAATTATTCTTCATTTGCTAGAGAAGTAGGTTATATTTACAAATGAATGCAAATTGTCTTTTAAACATAAAAGCAGTTTTAGGATAAAAAAATAAAATGATAAAAATTTTGAAACATATTTCTGCCAGCTAAACTAGGATAAGTTCATTAATAAAGTAAGCATCAAAATACAGTTGATGGAGATGGATTTTTTTTTTTTTTTTTTTGGTACCAGGGGTTGAACTTGGGTCCTTGCACTTATAAAGCAGGCCACCAAACCACTGAGCTAAATTCCCGGCCCAAGATGGAATTTTAAAATATTACTGAGTTCTCTTTAATTTGGGAACTCCTTTCTGGCTTTTTACTTACCTCATTTCTAAATTATTTCAGCTGTGGGGCCATCTTTCTTGAATTAAATCAAGTAAATATAAGTAATGCACAGCGTTAAATATGGTGGATGACAAGTAGAGAATTCTTTCCAGGAGTTCCAATTTCATTGTTGGCATCATTAATATTGCAGAAACCAAGAACAAATACCATATATTTAAAATTGTGTTCCCCTAATCATCAGTTTCATCCCTTTTATATAAGTGTATGGAAACAAAAGCCACTGATATTCTCCTTAGTGCAGCTACTTGTTGGATGTGTTTCATAATTACATTTGTCCTTAGTCTATGTATGCAACTAATCTAGGTGCATATCCATAGGTTTTTACACCCCAAGGCAGACAGACAGACACACACACACACACGCACACACAGAAGTATCTTTAATATCTAGGAGAAAGATATAAGTGTGTAAGACATGTAAAAGATTATACCAAACTAATCAGAAATATCAGGTCTCAATCAACTTGAAGGTCAACATTTTTTTCTCACCATTTTTCTTCTGTAAGTAAATACTAGCAATGTCGCAGCTTAAATTTTATGTTCTCCCACAACTTTTTCTGAAGCTTGTGGCTCCTTCCTTATATTAATATATCCCTCCAGCCCCCTTGCTGGCTCCAAGTGCTGCTGGCTGTGTGTCCTTGGGAGGTAGAGTTTTAAATTTTTTTGTTGATTCTATTTTAGGATTAAAAGTTATTTCCGAATTGCTTAGTTGATGGTAGAAAAAGCAAATATTTTCTTTTTTTTGTTATGGAGTATTGTCCTGGTCTGCTTTTGCTCTGTTGACTCCATTCAACTTCAAGCTTGAGGATATGAGTATTGCCTCTCACTTTCTTAACTTACAGGTTAATAACCTTTTTGTAGATTGATAGATTAAAATTAGTGTCAGAGTAGAACTATGTGGCTTTAACTCAAGACTTTCATTCTGGATTCACCTAATGGCTCTGCCAAACGGCTTTACTACTGGGTTTCTTAGTCTCCTCAGCCGCATCACATAGAGATGTTTAATTTTATACTGCACAGTATATTACATGTGGGTTTTCCTAGTTATTTCCTGATACACCTCTTCTTACTGACTGATATAAAAGGTACTAACACATTTGAAATGTTTTATGCCAAAAAATCAGTCATTCAATTGCACTAAGAATTATTCTGACAAGAATTTAGCATTTAGCATTTAAATTGATGAAAAAATAAATTATAGAACATATAATTTTTACTGTGCATAAGCCCTCCAATATATGTAAATATTTGGAAAACATTTTCTCTTTTTTACTATTCAAAAGTCTTCATCAATTTTTTTTTTTTTTTTTTACCGGAGATAGAGCTTGGTATATTGCACTTATGAGACAGGCTGCGGAACCACTGAGCTAAGTCCCCAGCCCATCAATTATAACTTCCAGGGAATTCTGTTTTCTCTTATAAAAATATAAATACACCTTCAAGTTAATGTTTAAATGAATCTGTGACTTGTTTTTCTCTTTTTATTCTTAATATGTTAAGGAGGACTGTTCAGTTAACAATGTAATGATGTTAGAAGAATATAAGCTAAAACTTACCTTTGCCTGGTCTGACAAGCTTGAATATTTATAAAGCTGTTTGTACAGCCCCCTATTGCTGTGTCTAAGGAAGGTATTTTGCTGCTAGAGCTTAATATGGATCTGTCTTGAATGCCCATGGTATTTTATGTAGAAGTTATGTGTGCAGCCACCCAGTGAAATCGTATTAAGTGATGACTTTCTAGTGTGTAGCTGAAGGACTCCTGAGAGAAGAAACCACTAGTTTTGGAGCCCCTGGGCCTGTGACATTAGCCAAGTCTTCCTGTTAGAACCATGATTTCAGCTAAGAAAGCTGAATAATGATCAGTTAATCCAACTTAAAGCCCTAAACTTTCATTAGTTAGACTTAGAACTGGCCCAGTGGATAATAAGTCTTTGCTAAGAACTGAATTCTGTCTAAGGGATAAAAGTGCAGATTTGGAAAAACATTCTTTTAAACTTCTGCCAAACCTCCCATTCACTTACTGAGGTCAATTTTCGGTATAGCAGTTACTGTCTGATTCAGAGTTCAGTTATTTATTATATTTGTTGTTAACTGGCTGTTAGAGTGTATGCTGCAGAAAAGTAAATTTTCCCTTTTTTTCAGGGAGGGGGGCATTAACTGAGGTATGGAACTAACCTAAACCAGGCCTGGCATGGAATTTACTCAAAAACATTTATTAAAGACTTTATGATATAAAAAAACAGTTAGACATACAGGATTACATTTATGCCTTCCCATTCATAAAACTTTAGGAGAAATTAAACTATCTCCCAAAACTCTAAGTCATACAGTGATATGTTTAAGGTAATATTCAATTAAAACAAGAAACGTGTTTACCTATAAAGTTATGAGTCTGTATGCTGTATGGAGTGTATGTGGTGTGAATATAGTTGGATTGCCACAGTGAGTTTTTTCACTGACATTAGACTACCAGGCCCTTGGACTTCTCTGTTTCCAATTCTGTATTCCGTTTCCAATTTCATTACACTACCCATCAGCATTTTCTCCAAAACCCCACATATTTAATTGTTTCATGTAACTCTGGGGTCTGTGTATTTCTCAGCGTGGTTATCTAATGCCTCCCTTCTTTTTGATTCTAAGATGGCTCGGCCTGTTTTGTCTCTATTACATCAGCCACAGACATTGAGAAGAGTATCTATTGTAGATTCATTTTATTTTATGTGATTCAGTTTTCAAGTTTTGATGTGAATTGGTTGAAGCTGTTCCTTAAAATTAGGTCAGCTGATGGTCTGTGGAATTCTTTGCTGTCTTTTCACTAATGATTGAAACTAGCTGTGCTTATTTTTGTTCCTCTTGGCAGTCAGATCTGCAAATTTGTGTTGTTTTATTTATATACGTGGAGTCATCACAGAAGTTACATTTTTAAAAAAAAATAGTTCTGCAGGATAAAACCTTCCTGGTACAGATGGGAGTATTGTTTTGGGGAGCAGAATGCTGTTTGTTGCATGTTTTAAGAGGTTCTGTTTGCAGTAGCTTCTGGTAGAGGTGACAGAAATAATGTCAAACAGATGTTTCCTTTCTTCTCTTCTGCTCTTTGGCATTAAACATGCTGCAGAAGAAGCAGCACTGTGTGAACAGTTATCTGAAACATGAACCAATGCTGTTAAGATTTGTAGACCTACCTTATGGTATAAAATTCTGTTATTTTACATGTTTTAAGTGACAGTCAAAAACTATTATTATCAGTTGGAAAAATTAGTAGAGTTGAATTGTAAGTCAAAAAGAATCTGGCTTTAAATTGATATTATTTTTTGTCTGTTTCTGGTTTTAATAAAAGAACCAATATCAATGTTACTAACAAGAAACTAGATTCATTAAAATTACCTAACAACTTTTATTTTCCTTCCCTAATGAAGAACTTTTACTTCATCCCAATTTCGCTAGCCCTAGAGCAGCTTCTCAATGTCTTCTGATTTAAGGTGTGTGTGCGGGGGTCATTTAATAGAATAGAGCCTAGGGCCTTCACTCTGAGCTATGGGCTATATCTCTGGGCTCCTCCCACCCTGAGTTTTTATTTTATTTTTTTATTGTAAGACTAGGTCCCACTGAGTTAGCAAGGCTTGGCTCAAACCTGTGACTTCCCTGCCTTAGCTATCCAGGGTGTGGGGATTACAAGCATGCACCATTATGCTGACTGAAGTCCTTGAGTTTTTAAATATGTGTTTCACTGTGACGGAACAACAAAGCCCCAGTTGAGGAAGGAGGCATGTTGTGAGCTTGAACTTTTACATTTTAGTGATCAATTTTCCATAGATTTGATGAAAACAGAATACACTTTTGGATTTGCAGACATAATCCTTCTCTTTGTCCCAGACTTGAAATGTAAACAGTTTAAGGGGATTTGCTTCTTTCAGATCTTTTCAATCAAGAGTCCTATCACAATTCCATGTAAAATCTAATGACTTAAGGTGGATTTGCCTACTGTGGATGTTTCACGTAAATAGAATTGTAAGGTCTTACGATTAGCTTCTTTCATTTAGCATGTTTACATCTTGTAGCAGATGTCAAGATTTCATTCATGTGTATATTCCACACAGTGAGATCAATAATGAAGTTAATTTACATATTAAAGTGCCTTTGAATGCTTAAGATAGAAAATTTTGTAATACAAATTCTTATATAAAATTCAGAAAATATATATTATGTATAAATCCATTGAAAATATTGTTATAGCGTTTTAGAATTGATAGACTTTTAAACAAATATGAAAAAAGTGATTGAAAAAATATGTATTCCTCCAGGAGTTATAGATAAGGCACTATGAATTTTTCTACCCTTTTTCAGTGTCTTGTATTAAATTAACACATATGTTTAATGGATCAAAACATTATTTTTTCCTTAGCAAGTTGGTATTAAAAATGTTCAGTAGCAAATTACAGTTTTCATTTTGTTTTTATATTAAGGTATATAGTAGCCATAGAGAAAATTCTTTTTTAAATAGTAATAGTCACATAAAATTAGTGAATATAGAAAATGTCTGATATCACATATTGGTATCAGTGCACTGGTATGATATGACCATGCCTATCATAGTAAATACTGTCATCACTCCAGGGAACTAACTGTGTACTTGCATTATACTCATTGAATGTTTATTCTGCCTTATTTCATGTAGACTTTAATTTTTAAGACCTGAGGTTCACTTAATTTCACAACTCATATTCAGAGACTTTACCTTTCCTTTTATTGAGTAGCTATCAGAAAATATTTCATCAGAGCCCAGATTTCCCCAAAGAAGTTCTTTACTGTAGCTTCTGTAAATAGAGACAGATTATAAAAACATAAAATGCTAGTGATGTTACCATATAAATATATTTGTGGGTCTTCTTCATTAAATTCACACTGATATTTCTCTGTATGCTAAATGCTATCTACTTGACTGTTATTTTAAAATCATTTTATCTCCAGATTGTCATAATGGAAGTACAAGGTTTGAAGTCAGTCGCTCCCAATCGAATTGTTTACTGCACAATGGAGGTGGAAGGAGGAGAGAAACTGCAGACTGACCAGGCTGAAGCCTCAAGGCCACAGTAGGCTACTTGAAATAATACTTGGCTTTTTTCTAAAGGAATATGCTTCATTTACTTGCAGGATTTTGTGGTATTACATCCTGAAACTTTTATTTGGCCAGCTTTATCTAAACTTTGTTTAGAATCACTGTGCTCCTTTCTGAATAATGACATTAGAATTAGAACTGTGACCAAATCCTTGTGTAGTACAAACAGAAAAGCTAACATGCAGGTATGAACCTGTTAATAGAGTGTTTGTGAGTCATTTATAATGAAAATGTGTTAACATGTTATTTAAAAGATAAGCGTGAGGTCCTGTCTCAGTGACTGGAGTTGTATTCTAGCAGCTTTCCCATTTCTATACCACTGTTTGTGGCGTTGGACAGGTGGGTCCCTCAGTTCTGCATGATGACAAAATAGTTCAGTGCATAGATTGAGTCAGAGAACCAATAACGACTGCCATCCAGTAATTGAAGATGATCCAGTTGTTCATTGCTAACAGTTTAATGTTTCAAATCTGGGGAATGAGTTTAATTAAATTTGAAAGATGTTCTCTTTAACTGATTTGAATGTGGTAAATATCACAACCTCTGGTAGAAGTAACCCATTTGACCTGAGGTATTCAAATGCAAATTGCCTGCCCCTCTTGTGTACACTGCTCTTAGAAAACTGTTTTTTCTTCTATTTAGTCTGTATTTAAAATGTCTTACATTTTCACATTTACAGTTTTGCCCTCTCAGGGCATTGTAGGTAGCCTATACTTCAGGAAACCTCTATTGACCTCTGGCTAGCACTGGTTAGGCACTGAAGATAAATGAACAAGAAACTTGGATTTCTTTAGAGCAGACACTCTACAGGATATAGAGGCTTGTGTGTTACAACAGAGATGTCCGCAGAATATTGTGACATTGAGAAGAACCAAGTTAAAATTTCTTACCCTGCCTCACAAAGTCCTGCAGGTCTGACCCTTGCTGGTCTCTCTTGCTTTTCTCTCTGCCTGTGTTCTCCTTCATTTTTTCTTTGAGTTGCAGGAGATTTGCCTTTGAGAATCACAAACATCACTTCCTGAGGACAAACTTTCCATTTATCTATAATTTGCTTGCTGTCCATGTAGATTTGCCTTCTCGAGATATTTGACGTAAATAGAATCTTATGATCTTACGGTCTTGTGACCACTTCTTTCATTTAGCATGTTTATATCTCGTATCAGGTATCAAGACATTTTTATAACTGGATAACACTAAATATGTTCTTTGCACACTATGTGAAAACCAGATGGGCATTGGTACATGAATTATTTCAGATTTATTTCATTGACACATATCTATCCTGCTAATATCACACTGTTTTCTTACTGGTACATTTTAGTAACTTTTAACATCCAGAGTATAAGCTGGGCGTGGTGGTGCATACCTGTAATCCCTGCACTCTAGAGGCTGAGGCAGGAGGATCACTGTGAGTTTGAGATCAACCTAGGCTACATAGAGAGTTCCAGGTCAGTCTCAAATACATAGTGAGACCCTGTCTCAAAAACAAAACAAAAACAAACAAGTCCAAAGTACAAACCCTTCAATTACATCCTTTTTGCCCATAGTTTTGGCTCTTCTGAATTTCCATATAAATTTTAGCATCAGCTTATCAGTCTTTTGATTAGTGGATGCAGGTGTCTATCCATGTCTTTAGGTCTTTAATTTTTTTAAACAGTGTTATAGTTTTCAGGGTATGAATTTTGTACTTTTTTGTTATATGTATTCCTACTATTTTTCCCTTTTTAGATGCTACAGTAATTGAAGCTATTTTCTTAATTTTGTTCTTGGATCATTCATTCCAAATATATAGAAATACAGTATATTTTTGTGCATTGATCTTGCATACGGCAGCCTTAGTGAACTTTTTTATTCTAAGTTTTGAGTGGATTTTTCAGGCTTTCCCTATATACAAGAGAATATCATCCAAATGTAGTAGTAGTTGTATTTCTTCCTGGCCAAGCTGGATGCTTCTTTTGTTTTCTTGCCTAGCTGACCTCTAATATGGTATTGAATAGAAATTGTAGAAATAACATCATTGTGGTGTTCCTGATCATAGGAAATGAATGTATAGTCTTCAGAATTAATTATGATGCTAGATGATGGTTTATCCTAGAAGCCTTTATCAGGCTTACAGACTTATTAAATGCTTATTATAAGTTTACAAGGTTAGTAAATGTTTTTAATATATTGATAACTTTTGTCAAATGTTCTATATGCATCTAGAAAAATTATCTTTTTTTTATTCTATCCATATGGCCTATAATGTGGTCTTTTCAGGTTTTAAGCCAACCTTGTATCCCTCACACAATTCCTACTTGGTCATGAAACGTCATTATTTCTAGTTGTTACTAAATTTGATTTTCTATCATTCTGTTGAAGATTTTTGCCTCTGTGTTCATAGGAGATATTATTCTTTGATATCTCTGTATGATATATCTATCTTATATTTTGTATCTGGATATAGTGGCCTTGTAGAATGAGTTTGGATATGGTCTCTCTCTTCTTTTCTTTGGAAAAATATGGAGAATTTCTATTAGTTTTTCTTTAAATGATAGAATTCATTAATCTCTGTGTGCCTGAATTTTTTTTTGTAATTTTCTGATTTCTAATTGGATTGCACTCCTTGTTACAGATTGTTATACTGTCTTTCTTCAGTCTATTGCAGTATTTTATGACTTTTAGGAATTCAATTCAAATAGCTTTTCTAATTTATTGTCATAATTTTTGTTTGTTTTTGTTTTTTTGTGGTCCTGGGGATCAAACCCAGGCCCTTGAGTTTGCAAGTCAGGCACTGGAACCACTGAGCTAAATCCCCGGCCCCAGTTGTCATAATTTTTCATACTATTTATTTGTAATCTTTTTCTTACTATATGGTTGATACTAATGTTAATGTCCTCTCTTTCATTTTTAATTCTAGTTTGAATATTTTCTCCTATTGTATTCTGTTCATCTAAAGGATTGCCGTGTGTGTGTGTGTGTGTGTGTGTGTGTGTGTGTAACCAGAGATTGAACTCAGGATCTTATACTTGCTAGTAGTCATGGCACCATTGAACTACATCCCTGGCCCAGGATTGTTCTTTTTGTTTTGTTTTGTTTTTTATAAAATACATTTGGGATTTTTTTTAAATGAAAACGTTTATAAAACCGTTCATATCCCAGTGCACCCAACCTCATTGTGCTCTCTTCTTTCAGCCACATCCAGTCTTCATCGGCCTTCCGTTCTCATTGCCAGCTTCCTGGGATATGCTATAGGGTTGTGCACAGTTGGTGATATATTACAGCTCTGTTTTCTTGTGCCAGCCTATGCCCCAGCTTTGACATTTATCTTTAGCTAATTTTACAAGCTGGAAAGTAGCTTGATAGGTTACTAGTTTCTGACTGTAAGCTGGAAGCTTTATTTAATAGCCACTTACAAAACCATTTAGGCAGAAATTGGATATTAAGTCTTCACTATGACGGGGCACACAGAGCCATTTGATCAAGGCTGCTTCTTAAAATTCAGGAGAATTAGAATTCATATTATTTGGGCTGAAGGTGTTTCATTAACTACACACAAGACAGTATCCAAACTGCTGTGGGGTGGCTGGGAATCTAGTGTTTTCTTTGGCAAGAAAGGGATTAGTCTTTTTTTTTTTTTTTTT